TTCTGCTTAAAAAGTATCACACGAAGTGCACGTGTGCTGACCTGTCAATCAAAACGCCTGACGCTGTATGCACTGCATGCAATAAAGTAGCCTGAGTTGGAAATAATCTTGAAGTGTGATCTTTAAGTAAATCTGATGCAACAAACTTGTGAAAAAATGAAATAAAATAAAAAAAAAATGAAATATCTCGGTATAATGAACTTCGATTGTGGGACGTGGAGACCGGTCCTTTAGATGAGATCGTATAAATCGTTAAACAACATATAATCAATCAATCAATCGATTGCTGAATAATTACTGTAACTGAATAATCTTTCTTATAGGTATGCTGTCAAATCTTGATATTATAACTTTATAAAACTCAGTAACTTTACGTTTAATGTGATACTAACTTAATTCATTATATTTTTTTATAACACCATCACAATTATGCCAGAACGTATACACAATGAAGTTTATGATAGTACGGTGTTCGTTCGTCTGTTTGTTTGTCTAAGAAATGATTGCAAACATTTTTTTTGATTGCTAATTATCCTTGCTCTATGATATACGTATATCTCTTACAGGTGCCAAGTGTATTATACAAGATTGATCATGAAAATCAAAGTACCTTAAGTACTGAAAGAACTTTTTTCCAGTTATTTTTTTCTTTCACAGTAAATATGATATGTATGTTTTTACACAAAAGCAAATTCTTACAGATTTAGAAGAACGGAAGACTTTTTTGTTGCCATGGCAACAAGAGTCTAGTTATTATTATTATTATTATTATTATTATTCCTCCCAAATTTTGTGAGCGCGATTACTCAGAGATGGTTGGATAGATTTTCACAATTTTTCACATGATAGTAGGCTGATATATGAAGTTTATATAAAATTCCGTTTTTTGAAAAATTCACTTCCGGTCCGAAGTTACGGCCGAATTTCCAATTTTTAAATGGACTTTTGTCCGGAATTTTTCTCGAAAACGGTTTGAGGTAAAGATGTGAAATTTACAGGAGTATTAGATCATGACATTCTCTTTGTTTCGAAGTTGTTTTCGTGTGTTTCCGGTACTTCCTGTCCGAACCGGAAGTGAACTTGTGTTTGGTCAATTTTCAACTTTTTTGTTTTTTCATATTTTTTCAAGATATTATTATGTATAACAGAGGTTATTCTACAAATATTAAATATATAATTTGTTTTGAAATCAGATTCCACATTTTGCAGATTTTCGGTACCCTCATTTTCCCTATTTACCTAGTGTGTAAACAATGGGCAAAGAAAGATAACTCTGACTTGTAAGTGAAAATAGAACTTTCGAGATAAAGGCGGAAATAGTATCGATGACGTAAGAGACATATACACTCTCCATATCAAAATATTTAGACGTTCCATATTCACTCTTCTAAATATACGAGTACGTTGGTTACCACTTCCAATGCATGTATATAGTTTAAGTTGGCAGTGTAGTGTAAGTCTGTATTGACAGTTAATTTATTTACACATGAATATATCTAAAAAAAAAAAAAAATTAATATATATGCTAGGTACCTAATTCAAGTAAATATATTATAAGCACTGAGTATACATTTATAGTGATGGACAGGAATGCAGTTTTATCTATCTCGTATAGTAAGTTCAGAATACGATAGTTATAAGCCTTCTATAATGCAGACGATTTATTATTCTCTATGATTTGAATGCGAAATTATCCCGATTTCCGAGTTTTATTTTCGATATTAAAAAAAATATTACATACACTCAAAAAGGAATTGAGCGATAGAAAATTGTAATACAGTACTGTTTTAAAGCCTTTATAAATAAATTGATATCTGCCACTTAAAAGAAAGAAAATCAATCTGTAGATTAGATTTTGTTATTACATGTAAATTTGATAAAAAGTTAAATTATTTATGACACATGATCTATATTCTATATACCCAAGGAATTATAAAAGATGTGAAAAGACGATTCTTGGGCATGGATTCTTGTGAAATACTCAAAGAGTTAAAAAAAAAATATGTGAAAACGCGATTCTGTGTGAAATAATGGTACGCTATATGTTTCTTTTGAAAAAAAAAAACATGAAAAAAAATTGCACAGGTCTCTTGATATGTGGGATAAGTATACCTGAATGAACACAATTTTATGCAATGATATATAATTATGTACATGCAACTGACGTCCGTACTTTTCCTTATAATTCATAAAACATAAAACTATCTAATTCCTTTGAAGACTCCCCCCCCCCCCACCCCACCCCAGTCTTGATTAATATTTGGAGACGTTCGTGCAGCTAGGCATTTGAATTATATATTCGTTTTAGATTTAAATCTGGAACATGTGAATATAATTACCATTTACATGTATACAGAATTTCATATTCTATAATGGTAGATTTGTCATTATGAAATGTTCAATTTACGTCTGAGAGAGAGAGGGGGAGAGAGAGAGATTCCCTCTTAATCCCGATCCTCCTATCCATTTACATAGAGCAAAAATTAGTTCTATATCGGTCACACCCATTCTTAATTAAATGTTTTCTGATTTCATAGTCAGTCATGGTCACATCCTGTATATTTTTCAGCTTAAAAAGTATCACACGAAGTGCACGTGTGTTGACCTGTCAATCAAAATCACTTGACGCTGTATGCACTGCAATTACGTAGCCTGAGTTCGAAATGATCTTGAAGTATGATCTTAAGTAAATCTGATGCAACAAACTTGTGAAAAAATAGAATAAAATAAAAAATAAAATATCTCGGTATTATGAACTTCGATTGTGGGACGTGGAGACCGGTCCTTTGGATGAGATCGTATAAATCGAGGTCCCTTTTTGCAGAAGGTGCTGGCATAAAAAAGATTCCCCTCTGCTCAATTGCGATAAGTGCCAAAGTATGGGACAAAAATTTGCAGTCTTCACCGGCGAGTGGTGGCGTCTCCATGTGAGTGAAAAATTCTGGAGAGGGACGTTAAACAACATACGTATAATCAATCAATCGATTGCTGAAGAATTACTGTAATTGAATAATCTGTCTTATAGGTATGCTGTCAAATCTTGATATTATAACTTTACAAAATTCAGTGACTTTACGTTTAGTGTGATACTAACTTAATTCATTATATTTTTTTTATAACACCATCACAATTATGTTAAAATATACATACAATGAAGTTTATGATAGTACGGTGTTCGTTCGTCTGTTTGTTTGTCTTAGAAATGATTGCATACAATTTTTTTTTAAATTGCTAATGATATACGTTTATCTCTTATAGGTGCCAAATGTATTATACAAGATTGATAATGAAAATCAAAGTACCTTAAGTACTGAAAGGACTTTTTTCCAGTTATTTTTTTCTTTCACAGTAAATATGATATGTATGTTTTTTACATAGAAAAAAAGCAAATTCTTACAGATTTAGAAGAACGGAAGACTTTTTTGTTGCCATGGCAACAAGAGTCTAGTTATTATTATTTTTCTTCCTGGGTACTTTTTTGTCCGTGAGTGATCTCCGAAACTACACATCCGATTGAGGTGAAACCTTTTTAGGGTTACTAGGCATGTTATGTAGATTTGCGGAACGAAGGTCATTTTGCGCGCACGCGCATGCATGTGCGTGCGCGTGCAATGCGTAAAATGACCAATATACTTGATATAGCTGTAACTTTTATATTTTTTGATAAAATGCTTTGATACTCAGAATATAAGGATATATAAAAAGTATGAACAAGATGACATGGTCAACATGCACATGCATGCACGTGCGCGCACGCGCAAAGCGTAAAATGACCAATTTACTTGATATAGTCGTAACTTTGAAATTTTTTGATGAAATGCTTTGATACTCAAAATATTTATATGTATTTAAAGTGTAGACAAGACGACATGAGCATCATGCACATGCATGCATATGCATGCACGTGCGCGCGCGTGCAATGTGTTAAATGACCAATTTACTTAATATAGCCGTACTTTTTATATTTTTTTGATGAAAAGCTTTGATATTAAGAATATACAGATATATTAAAAGTGTAGACAGGATGATGTGGCCATCATGCACATGCATGCACATGCGCGCGCGTGCAATGTGTTTAATGACCAATATACTTAATATAGCCGTAACTTTTATATTTTTTGATGAAAAGCTTTGATACTAAGAATAAACAGACATATTATAAGTGTAGACAAAATGGCATGGTCATTATGAACATGCATACAGGTGCGCGTGCGCGCAATGCTAAGATGACCAATATACTTGATATAGCCGGAACTTATATATTTTTTGATGAAATGTTTTGATACTGAGAATATAAAGATGCATTTATAGTATAAACGGAATGACATGGTCAACCTGCACATGCATGCACGTGCGCGCGCGTGAAATGCGTTAAATGACCAATATACTTAATTGCCTTATTTAATGAAGCTTACAGGAAATAAGACACCAAAAGGGAGTTGGGGAGCGTTTGGGGAACATCTGTAACGGTCCCCGTTACAATTAATACTAGTTTATATATATTATAATGATGAATGATACGTGATTGTGAATCCTTATCTTTTATTATTAACATGTTTATTATCATGTACAAGTATTATTACTTATTGTCTTTGTCTTGACCTATTATACAAGGAGAGGCTATGTATAAGCTCTGCCTGCTTCCCGATCAATAAAATATGTTTAAATTTAAATTTTCAATATTTCTTTATCACCTCCACCTGAAAGAGGGCCTGTCCCTTCATTTGATAAATCTGAACGCCAGACAAAATGTGAGCAGAAAGTCTCACTTGAGCTTTCAGCTCAGACGAGCTGAAATTTTGGAATCTGGGGTAAAATTGACCTCACAATGTTTCCGTAAAAATTATTTGTTCAATAAAAAATTATGTGAAGAAATAAAACAATCTCACTTATGGGCGTATGCTGTAGCATTTGAGTGTTTCCCAAACATAATAATTATTAATTGTGGCTAGCCATGACGCTGAGTTGGGTAATATAAATAAGTTCATCAATACTCAATGTTTATTTTTTAAATACTTTTATTATCATCAAAATACATCAAGTTTTATTCATAAACAAAAGTAAATAGTAAGTGAATACCCAACGAAAACGGAACTTTCATAAAAATCATAAATGCAGTTAAAACATCGATAAATTGCACAATCATCGTATAAACAATTTCACAATTGGTCCCAAAAATGGTCCCTAATGATCACAAGATAAATTGTGCTCATGACTTGCACATTAAAAAATTTGAAACTGCTAAAATTTTAAAAAGAATGAATTCTCGATCACTCTCAACCAGAATTAAATCATTCACACCATCCATGTTCAAGCATACCGAGGAAAAAAAAATTACAAAATTTACAGCCTTGTGGTAATGCAAATAACAGAAAACTTAAAAAAAGCAAAACACAGCTTTAAAGTCTCCAATAGAGGTCTATAAAATTAAAAATAGTAACGCCGAGTATCAACTAATAGCAGGGTGTCTGATTGATCATGATGCGTTTTATCTATAAATAGAAATCACAATATGGCGGATTTGTCTTTAAAACTTAGAAATCCTGTTGAAGAATAAGAAAGAAAGAAGGTATTTAAAATCAAAATTGGATCCATCCTGCATATAAAAGTCTGGTCTATCTGGAAAACTGCAACATAATAAACAATGATGTTAATTATTTTATCTTCTATATGATGGCACCGTGGAGCTAAGATCGAATCACTTGGTGATTGCTAACAGTGACGTGCACAAACAGCGACTCCAGTAGTGGAGTCAGATATAGTCATCAATTGCATAAGCAATTTTATTTGCATGCCCAAAGTTCCTACTCTTATTTATTCCGTAAAAAAGTATTATCCATTCTATGTAAATACCTCGTGAATAATTCCCGCCACTGTTCTGCCACAGAATCTCTAGTGGACAATTTGATATCTTTTGGTATGTGTAATAAATACAACCAATCACGCGAACTCTCATCTAACACATTTTAGCTTTCCGTGAGCATCGCTGGACATCAGAGCACCGACTGTCCCCAGCGACAAGCCGATGTTCTTAAGACTTCTTGGCCAATGGAATGTCTGCTGACGATAGTTTAACACAAATGGACTTCACAAATTTGTGAACACATTATTATCCCCATGACAACGTGACGATGACTGAGTTCATCATTTTAAGGATTAGTCCAATCATCAGATAAATTCTTTATAGTTCATGTCCATACTGTCAAAACAAGGATTGTATTCTTTACCAATTCTGTCACATTGAATGCAGTATCAATTAGGCACTTTGTCCTTGACCTTGGAAGACTGGATAAGAGGTCATAACCCCGGACGGAATGATTAATAAATAATAATGTCATCAAACATGTGCCTCGTTTTCCTCATCTTCCTCTTCGTCATCGTCATCATTTTTTACAATGCAGCACATGTAACATGAAACAACGATCCCCACCAACTGAAATAAGGAATTGAATGCACACTTGATAATGCGTTGTACCATTTCAAAAACATTAGATAATGTCAATACTATAGTATATGATTTATTCAAATACATGTGCACCTTGACTATTTACAAGAAATACTATACAAACCAAAAGCAATGGCACAGTAGCACATCCTATTGTAATGTACAAGGAGTGTTGTTTGATGTACTCCAATGCCTTGTCGTAGCAGCCCTGGAAATGAAAAAATAATTACATAACATTGCATAATACAGCAGTGCTAAACAACGTCTGTATATCTATCGTCAGATTTCCGTAATACTGTTATTGTCAATATATATATATATATATATATATATATATATATATATATATATATATATATATATATATATATATATATATATATATATAGCTACAATCATGTGCATAATATTTACTTTTTGAGAAGTGTTTCATCTTCCGATGAGAAAACCCGTTTAAGCAGACATTTGCGAGGATTCAATTTTGGCATTGTTAGCCAGGGTGTTGAGATAGCTAAAATTAACTATCGCTAACAATTTATTCCTCATTACAGATTACCGCTATCTTTCTATGCGCCAAAAAAAAATCGCTAAAATTACTTCTCGTTAAAATTAAATGCTGATTTTCAAGGATAAATCGCTGAATTTGCGTCCCGCTAAAAATTTCACTTATACGGTATAATAAATTTTCTTACCTCCTTATATAAGCTAGGATTCTCCACTGTGCCCCTGGCTGGTGGCGGGGCCCTTACGGGGTAACCGTTAAATTCATTCCTGATGCCCTGACAGTCAAACACATTCATCCCCGGGACACAGCAGCTCTTGGGCACAAACGGATACACTGAAAGAAAGGAAATGACGTCATTATTCTTCTCTTTATATAGCCTTATCTGCTTTTTGTTATTTTTCATTGATCAAAATTGAAAATCAAACACTACAATGTATATAAAATACTTATAACTCTTGTACATCAGCTTAATGATACAGTGAACATCACGAACTGTATTTGGTCTAGTACGGCATGAACAGATTCTAAAGAAACGTGGGAGTTACGGCTTTCAAGTTAGTGTGTGTAATTGTCTGCAAGGCTCTGCAAGAGTGTTTAAGCTGAACTTTTTTAAAATTACATATAGACATAAATTCTTTTTTCACTTACTTATATGGGTCGGTCGCTTTATGTACCAATCTGTGTTTCTGTAAAATGCCCAGGACGTTTGTGAATCTTTGTCACCGTACGCACCGCAGCATTTGAGCTGAAATTTGAAAAAAAAAATATCAACATTTGTGTAAATGACAAATATAAAACACAAATCAGCTACTACAATATGGAATACATGTAGCTAATAATACGTATTTAAAGGGTCTACAGACATAACAACTAGACTGAACAACTTATGTCGGTCTTAAATCAGTGATTCATTTTGATGTGCGTCCTGCGTAAATTACGCACAAATTTTGCTCAGGACGCATTATTTCAATAAATGTGCATCCCAATGGACGCAATAAATTTATAGAAGGACATGTACTATTTTAAATTATATCGGTATAATCTGATTCAAAACTTGACCGATTGCATCATATCCACGTGCTAAGCAATATGCATGAACGATTTTAACAGGTATAAGGTTGCCAACAACAGGTCAGATTTCACAACTGCAGTTAAAAGCAATTATCAGAAAATATTTGAAAGTTAGATAGCATAGTTCGATTATCACTGATTATGTCTATACCGTGGAACGTTTCTGAAGCGAATACTATACCTTTGTATTTAAGCTGTAACCTGTATCATTGTTTTTTTTTCTTTTCGGTTTTTCCTTACAAGCTAAGAAGTATAAAATTTAATCATTTTTATTTCTGACTATTTGTCATTTCTTCTTAAACTTTTTTTTACTTCATTCTGCTTCTGTGCATTTTTATGACTGATACAATGTGTGAGATCGTATGTACGATCTAAAAATAGAACCAAAGTGCACAGTGGACAATATATTATTTTTATGACACAAAATCATGTACTCTTACTTGGACCATTGATAGTAAAAGTATAAATCATTCACAGCTACAATAAAACATTTGCACTTTCGTGCAATACCCTTTTTTATTTCACCAGAATTTCCTGTGTAACATCTAGTATACGGTACCCTTGGATTTGGACGCATTGATTTTGGCACGGGACTCATTGCTGTCATTAAGAAGGGTCCTTTGGACCCATGATAACCATTTTCAAAATGAATCACTGGACAGTCTTTGAGGTCTGTACAACTTATTTAAGTTTAAATTTATTTTCACAAAACGTCTGTACCACTAATTAAAGAGTGTTCTATAGTTTTGACACTAGGTCTGAACCACTTCTTTACGAGTGTCAACAGTTTCGACACTAGTTCTTTACCACAAATTTACGAGTGTCTATAGTTTTGACAAAAGGTCTGTACATAATTGATAGGTGTCAATGGTTTTGATAGAGGTCTATTAACTTTTTTACGGGTGTCTGTAATTTTGATACTAGGTCTGTACTCTTACCGTTCTCTGCATGGCGTCCCAGGCATCCGTTATAAGATTATTTCCTGAATTTTTGTTTAGATCAACACCATACTGTCTCTCCAGTGTATACTGGAAGTGCAATTTAATGTCTTCATCAAGCTGGAAGAAAAATAAGAAGGTTCATGAACTATACATCGATATACCGGGACAATACTACCATACACCGATATACCGGGATATAACTACACATGTACTGTATTTATTTAGAGTGATTCATATTTTAGCAATTAGCAAATATATTACACTAATTCGTGATACATTCACTTCTACATTATGAATGAAAACATTAATAGCGTTCATTTATGATTGCGCTATTTAGTACATGATGTATTAACATTTTGAATAAAATATAAATTTAAACTGACGCAATTCATATCTTAATACTACAGTTGAACTTTGGGTATTCAGAACATCGATATCTCGAATATCATGGATATATCGAAGTAAGATGGAAGTACAAAAACATTATCCACATGTATATGTATTTCTAACCTTGATTTCTTGAATTCTCGGATTTCTCTCGGTTTTTAATCGGTCCCATTGAGTTTGAGATAACAAAGTTTGACGTCATATACAGTAAAACTCGGTTATAAAGAACTCGCTTACAGGGAAATCACGGTAATAAGGAAACGTTTGAGAATCCCGTAGAAGACTTAGCACTACGTTCCTTATACGAATATAAAGAATCTCGGTTAATAGGAAGCAGAACTCGAGATCCCAATCACTTCCTTATCACCGTAGGGATGACGTAATTGAAGGGATATGTAACATATCCGGGCTTACGTGGTATATACAGTATAGAAGGGGTACTAGTATGTAACATTTCCGGGTTATTGTTATATATATATGACAGTTATTATCTTACTTTTCCTTTTAGAATAAATCCCATTACACTCCCACCAACCAACAATGCCAGTACCAACGTCAGCACTCCGCCATACTGTAAACAAAGTGAAAAAATATATCTAGCTGTGTCTCACTCAATATCAACTCAGGTGAAACATCCTGAGGTTTTTAGCCAAATATGGAAGTTACAGGCAAACTCTACATATAAGTGAATAATAAGAGTATTTTTGAAACTATGTACCATGTCTGTAAATAGAGATCATTTTATTACTTACAAATCCAAGAACAAACTTCTCTTTCTTCATTGTGCCACAACATCCACAAAAGGCGAGGATAAACACGGCCCCGCCCCCGCAGGTCAGAAAGTAGGCCATATACTCAAGATGAAAAATGTCGAAGAGGGCGGACAGCTCCCGGGCATTGTAATCCTTTACCAGTAGCCATATCCCCGACCCAACCACTCCGGATCCCAGTACCTGAAAAGGCAATAGAAAAACCATTTATTATTCATTTTCGTTTCATAGAAAAGGGCAATTCATCAAATAAATACGGAATTAATCGTTCTTGTGTAGGGTTATATACAGGCTTCAGTTTGGATATTCTGTTCACGTCCATCTTGTTTAACCATAATGGACCTTGGGCTTAGGATTAAGATTTGATGTCATAATTAAAGACAGACATACATCTTCGACAGTGTGGTCATCTGTCAGACTCGTCACCAGGGACTGACTTCTGCAGAACACTCACCACACAAACTGGTTACCATGCAGGAACACTTTATATAAGATTCGTCTCTCCTGTAATATTGAGTGAAGAGGATCGCAAAGAAAACCTAACCAGCGTAATTAAAACTGGCAGATTTAAAGGGGGCCTAGGGGACCCGGGCCCCCCTTTTGTGTCCAAAATATACATAAGATTTAATAAATCATTTTTTTTTGGTGTGGCGGTGGGCCTCTTCCCCGACCCCAAACTAGAACTGCCCCCCCCCCTTTTCAAGATTCCTGGATCCGCCACTGATTAATATTGATGAGGAGCATCATGTCGGCTGAGAGGGTGGTTGGATTGTGTCATACTGATCTACAAAGTGTCCTCTCAATGGAGCACAGTCATATTGTGACGTCATAGGAGTGCTTAGTTGCTCGTTTTGTAACTCAGTGCAGACCGTGTCTTGTTCTGGACAAAGTGCACACTTGATCCTCTCTGTGATGAGAGGCCATTGATCCTGTGTATAAATCGTACACAGCCTCTCGTTGATTCATATTTAATGACAAATGACATAATCTGACAACTTGGACTGAACGTTAACACTACCAAAGTCACGTGAATAGGACTTAACAAATCATTATCCCTCTGTCTCATAATTTTGGGGATTCTAATGTAGGCTGGGTCCCCAGAGACACACATCGAATCAATTTATGACGTGAAAGTTCATAGAAAACAAGCGGGAATTCCGCATTCTCCCCTTCCATCCGAATTTTTCCTCGTATCTCACGCTTAGGCAATTGATTTACTTAAGGAGTTGTCAGAAACAATTTTACGTATCTTCGTCGGAGAGATTCTACGTGCATAAAATAATTGAGAAACACAACGAGGAGTTCGGTAGTTTGACACGTTTATGAGTTGAAAATAAACACATTTCAAAATATCATTTCTCCTTATTCTCAAGATTCACGGAAATGGTGGTTAAAAAGAATTTTTTTTTTTAATTTTCACTGGTTGAAATTAAATCCACGTCAAAGATGTAGAAGAAAACCGTATCCCCTTCCCTCTTTTAAAATCAGATATGCTGCATTATGCAATTTTTTCAAACATTCATATAAAAAAATAATCATACCATTATTAATAAAATACATCACATCTACGCCAATCTCAAAAGTATTAAATGCAAAATTGCACATGACGTCATATGTGACGTAAAGGCCCATTCCAGGAACAGAAGCAGCCCGAAAGTTCATAAGCTCTGTTTGCATGACAGTACAATTAACGTATTATTTATTATGACTTATTTCAGACTTTGATTGTCATTTCGGCTGTAAACTGTCTACATTTACCAAATCTCCTCACTGATCTCGCTAGATCCATTCAGAACGTCATCATTCATACGTGGACGCGATAATTGAAGAAATCCCTCGCAGGATTCCAAAAAAAAAAAAAAAAAAAAAACAATAAATCTGAAAATGATTACAGAAGAATATCCGAGCGGAAAACAGCAGCTCGTGTAAAGGAATGATTTAATAAAATGTCAGTGCGCTGAAATATAGTGTTGAGACAAGGAAATCCATCACTCCGGGAGATTAATTAAAATATCACATATCCCCGTGCTCAGGCTAAAAGAAGCAAGTGCACGCAACTGGGCCTATTTGTACATATCGCGTCCTGGACCAGAAATCAATCGGACCTAGACAAAAGCAGAGGTGGGATATTTATCATTAAAACCTACACCTGCAAAGTTCTCTTCTTTGTCCTGTTAATGAAGTTTTTATTGCTTTTTGGATTAATTCGGATTTATATGTTTTGTAGTCAATAGTGAAATTATTTATAAACACCCTTGTAGAAAACCTCTTGGTTGATATTGAATAAATATCTAAATTAATGCAGATTTTTTTAATTGTATAAGTTAGAGCCTATCAATAGAACGATAACATTGATAAAAATAATCGCTGCATAATAAAAAGATGCATTGTGTTAGCCCATAAAGTTAATTCTTGATATAAAACATTTTTTCTCTCGTTAATACCCTTTATAGTAATCAAAATAAATAACCAGACCGAACTTCCATGAGAAAATGAGTAAAATTGCTCTTTAAACTTAACAACCAATCCATTAAACCAATTAATGAATTTAAAAATTAATTAAAGCAATAAAGTCTTTAAAAATCTATGTCATGTGTATGTTTGATTAGATAAATGTAAGTAAGCTTGTTCAGTCTTGATTTGTGCATAACAATACATTTTTTGCACTAAAAAATAGAGGCAGTAGGTTGATGTCGATGCTGTTTTTGTTTTTAATTCAATTGTCTTATAGTATTTATTCCAATGTAACATTAACCAAACAGTGTAGATGTTTATAGACGCCAGCTAAAGACGTGCAGTCTAACAAATATGATAATATTAAGAAATCTCTCAGGACTTCCTTGATACCAAAATGGCTCAAATTCTTTTTATTCATGTGCCAGCCATATCAGAATATTCCAATGTAGGCACTACTTAAATCCCCAAACGCCATAAGAGTCATGAAAGATAATAATATCAATATATAAGTGCATTTTTCATAAATAATCGTGTAAAAACCGAGCTGGCATAAATTGCCTTGCCTAACAAGCGTACAGAGATTAAATATACGCTTTTTTATCCTGAAAAAACTCATTAAACGTCACCCTGTATCTCCCGATGTTGCAATAACCTGGAACCCATTAATATTTACAACGTTACGGTAAACGTCAAATAAAGGAATAGCCATCAATCCGTGAGGACATCGCTTCTACTATCTCTTACAATCACCAAACAAATTCCTCTTTATACAAAATCTGGGTAAAATCGTATATTTCCAAACATTTCCAATGACACTGCGCATTTTCAAAGCGTCAGTTAACATTAACGAGGTTACAAATAAAGAATTTGCCAATACCCCATGTCACTAACAACTAGGTAAGACTTAATAAGAGTCATTTTTCTTAATTTCAAGGTCAAAGGTCAAAGTAAACCTAAAATCGGGGATGTATTGAAAACATACTTGATTAACACCGGTGTTTGGTCGTAAAATTTAATAGGATACAGACTGTACAATGTAAATTTAATTTTGTTAATTACAGAAATAAAAAGCGCAACATTTATAAGGTCAAATAAAAAAAATGTGCGTTTCTGGTAACATGTTAAAAAAAAGGGGGGAGGTAGAGATATTAGCTTTTTTTTTAAACTTTATTTTGAAAGCATCACTTAATTAATCAATACACTGTTTTTATCATATATACACGCACATTTCTTAATAAACATACAAAACAAAAGAAGTATACAGCTGTACTCTTTAAAACACTTGAATCGTTACATTTTACGCTGTCTGAGACATACATTTTATTGACTACACCATGAGAACACTGTACTAGTGAACAAAAATACAGTTCAAAATCCAGATCTGGAATAAAAAGTAGTAAGGTATGTGGGTAAAAAAAAAATAGGCTCGCTCGGGTTACCGGAAACACACATATTTCTTTCAGGCTAACGTTAAAGGACAAAAAACGATATCATTTCTAGCACCTCAAAATAATTATATAGATGAAAAAAATTGCAAGCAAACGAAAGAAAAAACCAGAAGTCTCTGATGAGACTGTAGCTCTACTGGTCTGTTTGTATAACAAAAGAAAAGTAGCACTTGGATTTGAAACATTGCAACATGCAACAATAAATAGAATTATGTATCTTAATGTAGTCTACTTTTGTGACAAGTTATTGAAATCAAATGAAAACTAGGAGTAGTAGCGTTTTGAAAGTATTTCACGGAAATTTCTATTTTTAGTACCGGTAACCATGACAACACCATTCACCCAAATAAAAAAAAACAGAAATACATATTATGTATCGTAGTGTATTCTAACTGTGTGCCAAATTAGATTGAAATCAGACCAAAATTGTAGGAGGAGTAACGTTTTAAAGGAATTTCACAGACATTTCTATTTTAAGTAACCATGGCAACACTGTTCATCAAATTCAAAAAAATGCAATAAATTATGTATCTTAGTATAGTCTTCTTGTATGCCTAATTATATTAGAAGCAGACTAAAACTGTAGCAGGAGTAGTGTTTTAAAGGAATTACACAGAAATTCCTATTTTTAGTAACCATGGCAACACCGTCCATCAAAATCAAAAACCGATGCACTAAATTATGTATCTTAGTGTAGTCTACTTGTGTGCAAAGTTATATTGAAATCAGACCAAAACTGTAGGAGGAGTAGCGTTTTAAAGAAATTTCACAGAAATTTCTATTTTTAGTAACCATGGGAACACCGTCCATCGAAATCAAAAAACCGATGCACTAAATTATGTATCTTAGTGTAGTCTACTTGTGTGCCGAGTTATATTGAAATCCGACCAAAACTGTAGGAGGAGTAGCGTTTTAAAGGAATTTCACAGAAATTTCTATTTTTAGTAACCATGGCAACACCGTCCATCGAAATCAAAAACCGATGCACTAAATTATGTATCTTAGTGTAGTCTACTTGTGTGCCAAACTATATTGAAATCCGACCAAAACTGTAGGAGGAGTAGCGTTTTAAAGAAATTTCACAGAAATTTCTATTTTTAGTAACCATGGCAACACCGTCCATCGAAATCAAAAACCGATGCACTAAATTATGTATCTTAGTGTAGTCTACTTGTGTGCCAAGTTATATTGAAATCGGACCAAAACTGTAGGAGGAGTAGCGTTTTAAAGGAATTTCACAGAAATTTCTATTTTTAGTAACCATGGCAACACCGTCCATCGAAATCAAAAACCGATGCACTAAATTATGTATCTTAGTGTAGTCTACTTGTGTGCCAAGTTATATTGAAATCGGACCAAAACTGTAGGAGGAGTAGCGTTTTAAAGGAATTTCACAGAAATTTCTATTTTTAGTAACCATGACAACACCGTCCATCGAAATCAAAAACCGATGCACTTAATTATGTATCTTAGTGTAGTCTACTTGTGTGCCAAGTTATATTGAAATCGGACCAAAACTGTAGGAGGAGTAGCGTTTTGAAAAATTGTTTACAGACAGACGGACAGACAGACAGACAGACGGACGGACGACGGACACCTTACTATCGCATAAGCTCTTCTGGTCTCTGACCAGTAGAGCTAAAAAACAGAACTAAATTATACAATCAGCAATCTGCAGTACATATTGATGTGTCACGTAAGTTTTCAGGATAACTGTAACATCATTTAAATTTTATATTTAATGCCACTCGGTAAAGCAAAATTACACAAGAAGTAAAGGGATAGCTGCAAAGACGGCCGTTTCGTTTGCTTGGCATCCTTATCAATCAAAATATTGGACTTGAATAATAGTACGTGGCATTATGTCATTTATGGGGTTTCTGTTTAGTCTTAAAATGAGATTCATGTATTAGATTTCATAAGTACATGTACAAGGTGACGACAACCTATATAAGAACTCACCAACAAAAACACATTGTAACAATGGAGGACCCCCGCCAAATAGTGGAAGCAGCGATCCTTCTTCCTCCGCGCCGCACGGACATGGATCCGCCTAATCCTCTGTGACGTGTCATTTGAGGTGGTGCTATATTTCTTCTGATTTGTACTTTTCTTTAGAGGCTAAAATGACAAGGAAATCTGGGATGACGAAGGTAGAGAGTACTTATGTGGAGTGTAATCCGATGATAAATAACAGTCCCCGGCAATTATCAGTCAAAATCAAGCAGTTAAACAATGAAAGTTTATTATTATTTTCTTAATTCATATATATCACTGAAGATTTCCATATGAGATTTTTCAGACTGTAAAAGTTGCTTGTATTCATATTTAAATTCAGAAGTGATTAGTGTCACGCAATCACCATAACACGTCTGGAAAGTGGTCATTCGTTATCGAGGTGGGGCAGTGTGTACATTTATTTCTTCTAAAATTCCAACACCTTTTCTTTTTTTCTGTGATTTACAGTAAAGCAAGCCAGGAGGAGAATTCTAGACCATGTCTTTTGTTAGAAATAAAGCGATCGATTTTTTGGCACAAAATCATAAATTCGCCGACTTCAGCATCGTCGGACATTTTAACAAAGAGGGTTCTTCCTTTTCAAAGTCGATTGTTCTAGAGCAGATGTTGAAAGAAGAACAAACCATGACGCAATGGGATTCGCATTTTAGAAAAGCTGCAGAATTTTTTTTGTATGTCATCACTACTTCATTTTTAAGTGGAGAAAATAAACGCTGCCGAAACATGAGGGCTGAAGTGGTCTCTTAACAAAATACCATCAGCATTACTGTATTCATGGATATTTCATCGTTAAGTTTTTTTTTTTTGTTTCTACGAATATTAATGTTTCCTGAAACGGTGATACGGGAACCACAATTCTATATAAAAACAAAGAAAGGAAGGGAGACTTTAAACGAATATCCATTACTGTATACATGTAAAATATGAAAATCTTACAACTAATTTGTTTCCTAAATCATGTAAATCAAATTTTATTATATGGTGTAAGTGCCCCCTTTTCTTTACTCGTGAAAGGGAACAACAAAAGCGTCCAATTATGTGGGGAAAAAAATTTGGCGCGAATGAAAGAAATAAGACTTACACGTTCTAGGGTGTCTGTGGGGCCGAGTGACCTCTGGATGCTAGCCTCACAATTCCTGACCAGGTGAGCTACTTTACCTGTGGTCAGTTCTATAGAATGGTTTAATTTAGACGTCATTCTCGTTCGTGACAAAATGTTAGAATGAGGCGTCAAATACCGTCACATGGGGAACACCGGATGTTACTCAAGTGCTGTGGCTTATGTGCACATTACGAAATTTTTTTTTTATATGTTTCATATTACATGGAATTACAAACATGAGAAAACTAAAATGAAATAGAGTCTTTCTATTAATATTATTTTAAAAACACAACTTAAATTGATTGTGAAGGTTGAAATATCTAGTCATTTTAATTATTTTCAAAATACATTCTTTTTAAATTCGCCAAAGAATTTAAAAAGAAAACGGTTTACCAGGTAACACACCTGTCGTACGGTGCACACTGCACCTAAATTATACAGGTAAAATACGAGAAAATCAATGCAATGGGGAGTGGCAAAGGGCATTCATAAAAAAACAGGACACGGGAGGAAGAATATCTGCGCATTACACACAAAAAGCCCTAAGGAAGAGTATCTGCGCTTTACACATAAAAAAGCCGTTTTATTCACATTTAAAGTTTCATAAGTTGTTTTTTCCCCAAATAAATACAAATTTTTATCAACTTACTCTAGAGTTCATAGTCCTTTTGACAATAGCTAAAAGGGACTTAATATTAATGTGCTTAAGTAATTTCGGATACGATCTGTCATACCTTGTTTTTACCAGTCTTGATACATAAGCATTTCATTACAAGGTAATTAATAAACAGTAAACAACTTTTTATTCATCTTGTCATGTGACTCCGAATTCAGGATCTTTTTTAGTTTTCTAGCGTAATGTTTTAAAAATTTCCGGTTAGCCGACAAGCTCTCCTTGAAGGTCCAAGGGAAATACATAATGCGTGAGACAAAAGGCATTGCTCCTCCTTCTAAATGAAGACCAACGACCAGGAAAACATCCCCCTGAGGCCCCCAAAGTCAAAGGTCACTCACTTTCTGTTATCTTAAATGCGTCGCGCTTCAATAGCAACACAGATTTATTATAATTTTGACAGACCTCATCCGATTCACTAAACTGTGTAGTCGTTAGCTAACGGAAAAAAGTTCCCAAAAAGAACGTGTACAAAAATTTCTACAATACCCCCCCCCCCTCGAATAATCATATTAAAATTTGAATTAAATTAGAATGAGACAAAAGGTACTTTATTGACTAACCATAAATCATATTCACTGCAGAATGGTACTATGACTGGATTACATAGCGACACGGGGGATTCAGTGTGTCATTGTACTTCAGCGTTCACAGAAGTCAAGTTTTGACACTGAAGCTTGCAATAAATCAGAAAACCTCTCAATAGAGCATGCAACATTGTGTTGACACAGTCAAGAACTTTGATTGACACAGTTATTAGGGCCTCTTTGTTGAGTTTACATTTTGTCAGTACGGTTTTAAACAGAACACTCGTCTTTTATCCCCTTCCATCGATTCCCATTTGTCTCCCGTACTTACTCCTTCTGTGTAAACACTACTATTGAATTCTATCCCCGATATTTTTGTGTGTTTGTGTTTTTATAGTGATGTAGAGGTACAATTCTTTTATGTAGCTGGAAATATTTTACATCTATAAACCATTAACTCCATCCGATCAAATTGTTTTCGCTGGAGAGGGGACGTCCGGACTTTGATGACGTCACTATTGGTCAACAAAGGGGGCACTTCATTCATACTTTGTTGTTCCAACGTTACAATTAAATTATCCGATAAGATTTTGTAACAGATTTTTGTTTACACCCGTGCACAGTCCCTCCCTTTTTCATTTCGGAAACTAATAGTTTTCACTTGCATTGTTACCTAATATTATTAAATTTATAGAACTGATGTCAACCAAAAAAAAAAAAATTCAATGCTTATAAAAATCTGTATCTTAATTCTGGAAATATATTCAATTCGTTTATTGACCAATTAAGGGCCCTCATGGGGCAAAAAGAAAGTACATTGTTAAAATGTATATAATGATTATAATCATATGATGTTGTCTGCCCTCCCTGGTTTCTTTATTTCTATTATTCATGTCTCTGTTATATATTTCACATGTACCTCTGACTAGTTTGTACAATAATATATATTTATATTGTACCCTCATGTACCAATATTTTGGTTTGAGCTATTAAATTGAACTTACTTTTGAACTTATTTTTTCCCTTTAAATCTCATATATCTTTAACCGTTTTTTTTTTTTTTACAACTCACCACACCAATGTGTCTAATACATATCTTACTTTCGACCAGAGTGACAGGGCAATGTGATAAGGCACCTATAAATTATGGGGATTCCAATTGATTTTGTATTCTAGCGAATTCTGTACAAACGTCCCCTTACTTTTTTACTCGCACGCATGCATAATTTCATGTTGGTCGGGTATTGTTCAAAATTCTTGGGATGCCCATTAAATATTCTTTTGATTCTGCAAGACGTGTATGGCAATACATTCCCTTCCATTGCCAAACAATGTACTTATGGCAGATTGATTGTAATCACGCTAAATCAATCTCTCCGCAGCCATTGATCTCCTTCTGCTAAAGACATTGTTCTCAGTGTCTTTCAAGTTTTATTTATACTCCTTTGATGTGTGAGAAATCCTCATCCACCTGGATCACCAATGATGGACCCAAATCAATGACGAAACAATTGCTTCCCCCACTTGTAGAGAGCAATTGAGAAATCCCTGTCATTTCCCTGTGACTGTATACACGGAATTCTCCTGTCTTTCCTTCATTCAGAAAAGCAAATTTAGTGGGGGGGGGGGGGGGGCACTCCACATTTTCAGTTTTTGGTGGGCACTACCGAGCCATTTTTTTTTTTAGACAGATCCAGTTGGGAGGGGGGTGGGGGTACAATCACATTTTCAGTTTTAGTGGGCACTACCGAGCTAATTTTTTTTACCCCCCCCCCCCTCCCCCGGTTTCTTCAGTTGCGTAGTATTATCTGCGGTTGAGTTAACATGAGTTTGAATACTGAGCAGAAATAAGCTACAACATTCAAGATTAACAATTTGTTTTGAAAATCAAAAAGTCCAATCTACATGGTCTAGGAACAGTACATTTTTGGTGATGATACAAAATAAAGAGCGAGTCTGGGCTACAAAATTGAAGTTCTCTGTATTTGTCTCTTAATATCTATTTTACAAAGTAGAGTGTGAAATATTCCACTAAATCGTAATCATAAATATATTGTAGATGTTGGACAAAATAACCCTTCATTCTTTGTAAATTACATATATTATCACCAGATGGCAGTAAATTCCTGTGCAATTCATAATGCTTATCGAATAATGTGTACATGAATAAATTAAGGGTAATTGCCAATACACATCACGATAAGGTCCGATTATCGACCATCAATTAAGACCGCTGGCTCTATCATTAACACGGCCATTTCAATATCTATCCATATAAATTATTAATTAAACTGACGTGTTCAAACTGACCAGTTCCTCTTTACCAATCATCTAATGCTATATGGCGAAATTGTTACGGAAACAACACTCTTAGAAGATTTTTGAAATATTTTCTGTCCTTAAAACAAATTTCACTTTTTTAAAATTATTTTTTTTTATCAATTTCCCGTATACTACACATATCTGTAAATCTATCAGAAATAAACGACTTCCAGACTTCTCAGTTTGGTGGGTAAATTTAAGACTGACCCCCGTGTCGCTCCCCTGATATCTGATGGGGGTCCAGTGATAAAGTTGCCATGTTTCGCCTCATTCGCTGCCCTGAGAGTGTTTTCTTTTGTCCAGTTCGTAATCTCTTACATCATTATTAGTAAACAAATATCTTAATCCTGACATCTTTCCTGATATGAAATAAGAAAAACTTACCTCGAATACTTCATTAAATTCTGCCATATCCAAATTATTTAAAACCACTTTCTGAAAATAATGTTTTGGTGAAACTTTCAAGACTGCGGCACTTGACGGTTAATAAGAAACATGTGGCTTCATTCAGAGGACAGCCCGCATTTTCCAACATCGGAAAACATTCCCACGAGTAGATAGGGTGTTGAATTTCACAAAAGTTTCACAAACATGCGACAAATGTTAATGATAATTGTTGAGACAACTAACACTTAATTACAAATAGTGGAATCACCTTCGAAACTTCATTAAATCCAAATACACACGTTGTGTCGCCTGGAGATTGCCGCGCACCCCGTGTTGCAGTGCGTCCAATCTTCTGCCCGATTCGTCCATTAATAATCCAGGCGCACGCCCTTTGTCGCAGTTCGAAACTAAATAATTCAATAAATTCGCTGCCGCATCTGTTTATTTCAATTTAACACATTATCCAAAAGAGGCAACTTCCGTATATTTTGAGTTCGTGTGAAAGCTGCAGTGAATGTTTGGTCAGAGTAACGTCCCGGAGAAAATACGCACACAGAAAACACAGAGAGTGGTCACAACCAAGACTCACAGAACGACGGTAAGAACTCTGTAATATAAACCAGTCTGGATCATTCTTAAGTTCTTGAAGTAAGATTCTGTCACCTTATTTTTTTAGACAATGTAAAACGCCATTTTACAGTTCTTTTTGTAAAGTATTCTATTTTTTAAAAACGTTTCATTTATTTTTATCGGTAGACTAGTTAAGTATTATAGTATATATGTAAAGTTAGTTTTATTGATCTTGAGACTAAGAAATCTTACCTTTGAATAATTGATTGAACTTTATTACTGTATATTCTTTTGATATAAGAACTGGTCTATATTATACACAAGACCAGACCGAGCTCGGTTTACTAGACAGGCACAGACTGCGGGATTTCACGCGCATGTTCCCCAGGGCATATAACTGGGGGTTCGAGATCCTTTATTGTTTTGTCCGTTTCATACGGTCATATTAAAAAATCCAGGAGGTGTTGCTGTAATGAAACACCCCTTCGTCATCGCTGAAATATTACGTAAATGAGTTTTTCTTTGTGAGGATTGTGTAAATTCTTATGCGTATATACGCTGTAGATAATGGATTAGATATAAGTTTTCCACTCTTCTTTATTCCTTGTCGAGCGTTATTGTTTTATCGAGCGTCGGGTTGTGGATTCTTGGTTTACCCGACACCCCGTGTCTCATTCTGCCTGAGCATTTACCGGAGGAAGAGATGAATACTGCCATCATTTGGCTTTGTGACAAACGATACCTCTGTGTCTTAAGTAGACTTCTCGTAATTTAATTTGCGAAATTATTTATGAAATGCCCAAAACAGACTTCTGCTCTGAAATTTTACACATAACGTAGGTGTGACAGGTATGACTGGCGTGCACGCACAGGTAACAGAGTCAGAACGACAAATTAAGACGTCTTTTACAGGTTTTACAGATATATCGAACCAGTAGTCTCTCTTCGAGTCAAAAACCTTTAAAATCAAAGCTTCTTCACGCAAATCATTATCTTCCTGAGGATATGCAACCATAAAATGTTTAAATAGATTTCCTTTTAGAAGTTAGTGTTAAAATCAAATGAATTAAAATTTGATATTGTGATACGATAGAAATACATTCGTATTGAGTTTTGTTTTATAATTGTTCATATCCTAACCATACTCATTGGCAATCTAGAAAACGTTTATGTAAGTCATATGGAATGATAGCAGATGATTTAATAATCTGAATAATTATCTACAAATAGTTTCAATCAGAGATCATATTTTATATCCGCCTTTATTTTTTTTTAATTTGAAAAATCTAATTTCCTAGAAACTACTTGACATTTCCACTATAAAGACTCTCGGAATGATCAAGTGAAGAAATGTTTATTTTATTTGATTTTTTCTGTAAATCATTCACATAGATAAGTATTGCTTCGGTTTTGGGCCCAAAAGGTATAGCAAGACAGACAGTTAAAGCTCTAAAGAGATTATATACAGACAAATATTGAACAAAAGCAATACAAGATACTGCACCACCGACATGTAGATGTAGTAGATTGGGAGAGCAGGTGTATATATAGTTTATACAAACGTTTGTAAGTATATGAACAATATGAACATTATACTAACATGAATATCTTACTATATATATATATATAGTTGTCTTTCTGCAATTTTATGACATTACATCTATTTTTCTGAAAGTTTTAACTAGATACTCACTCAGTTTGATAATTACTGATAAGTCTTCATTAATCTTTTACCATATATGATGAAATTAAATTTTTTTTTCACAAAAATTTGCAAATCTAAAAAAAATTATAATAATTAAATGAATAAGGAGACTGAAAACAAATGGCGTGTAAGAATGATTACAGACTAACAGCTACATCTTCGCAAGCCAAGGGTTTTCGGTCCGCTTCGCTCTTATATGGAGAGCGAAGCGGACCGAAAACCCTTGGCTTGCGAAGATGAACAGCTAGGGTACTTTTGCATTTGTATGGGAATATGTGAAGTACATTCTATCGTGCTTACTCCGAAAGGGAAGGTTGGGGGTGATAGTGTATTCGTGTCGCAGGCATAATGAGGAGCCCTTACCCTGAATAAATTCAAATTTAGTGTGTTGTTCTTCATGAAAGAATGTTGTATTGACATTACTAGTATCTTGGAAGACAAGGTCAAAGGGAATGAGAATATAGAACCTTAATTGCTTTAGTATGCCAATGAGTATTGTAAAAGCACATATTTTTGTGGGGTCAAATTTTCGTGGTTTGAGCAAAATAAATTGGGTTCGTGTGAATTTCATTTCTTGGAGGAAGAATTGTTGAGTAGTAATATAAGTGGAGAATTCCATTGGTGGACATAAATTCGTGAGTCTCCCCATACCTTGAAAACAACGAAAATTAACCTCCATGAAAATGAGTGATTTCGCACTACTAATTTAATTAAATTAATTTTTCACGTGTTATTATCACACTGTGAAAATAACAGTCTTCTACTCCTATATTGTTAAATTACTTTGTTCATATTTTATGTTAAAATTACCATAATAAAAAAACTTATTGACTTCATCATTTGCATAATTCTTGTGGATTCGCTGAGAAATATTGTTAATAAAGAAACACCTAATAAGGACAAAAGGAAAACGAAAATGATATACAGAAAATTCAATGTTTTATATTTCACTCATGAGACATGGTTTTTAAAAGGACATAGACGCACTAAGTTCTGAGTGCACTCATAGAGTTGAGTTGTCATGGTGTTATACTCCGTGTGGTGGTCAGGATAAAAACACTTGCAATGCCGGTTTGTTTACAATTTTGCATTTCTTCCCTTATTTAACTTACATGAACATTCTTCATACGTGTTCATTGACAACGGCATTCTTCATCATGGTAGGCTTCCGTACGTTGGGTGCGATCGCAACCCCTTTAAAAGCAAAAACGTACTCCAACATATCATTTCTGAACATATAGATTCATTATTCATCTGTGTGAAATAATGCTGCTAGATAAAAATATTTGAAAGAATTGCTTCTAGAATTCACCAGAACACACTGAATTGGTGCCCATTTTTTAGTTCGTGAAAGTTCAGGGATATATGCCGATCCAGAACACCCGAAAATAATAGTTTTGATAATATTTAGATAAAAAGAAGTTTCTAAACTTTAATGATATATCGATCTGAAACGCTCTTACAACATGTGGAAATATTTAACAAAAATCTGAAGGCTATAAACTTAAAATCTCCATGTGTCTGTCTGTGGAAGGCAAGATTTTCTTCGCAGTGCTTGCGAGAAAGATGACGTCCTATATTGATGAGAACGGATATGGGGATATGTGGATACATCAGTGCAGAAAGGGGAATACCAAGGTTCCAAGGAGATCACACCAGTGTCATCTCACAACTGATCGCGGAGAGCAAGACACCAAAGTTATAGGATGTACTATATCTGTAGTCCTTTTCGTTATGGCAATGAATCTTTTGATAAAGGCGGGAAGACGATAGACCAGGGGACCAAAGACCAAGGCAGACATCAGGCAGCCACCGAGCAGACGCTGAATAGAGGATTTAACCTTCACCACGTAAACAACGCTTACAGGTGAGATTGGAATGAAGAGCCATAGAGAAACATCCACTTGGGCCGGAATGAAGTTCAAGCCTGTCAAATCGAGGTGTTTGGTTATAAAGAAAGGACAGAGCTCTCAAAGATTCATACTGAAAACCCAGGGTGAAGAGTGACGTCTATCATCATCAATCCCATCAAATACCTAGGCAAATGGTACTTACGATGGCACGCTGAAAGACGTCAACAACAGCAGACGGCTAGAACAGGACACAACAAAGAGAGTGGTTAACGTCGATAATACAGGTTTGCCTGGGAAATTTAAGGCATGGATCTTCCAGCAGGCACTCTCCGCCGATGGAGTGGGGAGTGGGAATGCCACAGAACTTTTCTTCAACAATTAGATTTTACAGTTAGGCCACCAAGATTGATTGTATGTTGTTTTACGTCCCGTTCGAGAATTTTTCACTCATATAGAGACGTCATCATATACCGTGAAGGACTTCAAATTTATACCTTTACTCGGCACTCAGGGCCATTGAGCAATGAGGGTTCTTTCACGTGCCAACGCCAACCGTGATCGGGGCCTCGGTTTTTATGGTCTCATCCGAAGGACCCGCAACTTTCACTTCAAAGTGTCGAGCGCTTGGCGAAGGAACAGTTGCTACCTATTTCTTATCGACTTAGGTCAGTCGCGGCCGTAATTCGAACACACAACCTTCTGATCACGGAGCGAGCGCTCAACAGACTGAGCTACCCTGACGGTTAGATCACCAAGATGTGCTTACTATAGTATCTCTCAACTCAGTGGTAGAGGAATTCAAAACTGATCAAATTCGACTCATAATCACCCTCAAGGACTCCATTGACTCCAAAGTATTTAATTGAAAATGGAGCTTACATACAGTCAGGAAACAAGATTTTGCCATTAAGACATTGTGGGAATCATCTGTAAAGGATAACAAGGCCTAGGCACTGAGTCACCAAGATGAGGAGGAACATCAACCAGAGACAGAAGGAAACTGTAGTCCAGCAGGCGATACAATGACAGGTAAAGAGGCAGTAAAGATGGAAAGCCAGGGGAAACTGGATTAGATGGGAAAATGAACAGAGGGTGTTAACGTGGAATGATATATGGAAGTACACAACCTTCCAATTCCAGTTCTACTACTAAGAGCTGCTTATAATGTAATACTAGCACCAACAAACTTCAGGATCTTGGGAATGACAGATTACCCAATGCGCCCACTATGCCAGAAACAAGCCAACCTTGAGCACATATTCTCATTTTGTCAGGTTGCCCTTACCCAGAGAAGATACTTGATAATTTTTTTAGAGAACTCGCCCACACATTGAAAAAGAGTGGAAGAAGGAACATAGACACTGAGACGAGCCACGCTTCATCATTCGGTAAAGGTGGGGAGCAATCTACTGGGACCACCGTAGCGTACGGTACAGATGTGGCATACTGAGCATGGCCAGAGACTG